AAGCAAATTTTCAATGGGAACCGAAACGCCGTCATCTGCTGCGACATCGCGAAATGTATATTGTGATGGTGTTCAACTGTCCTTTTATTGTTATGTTATTTATATAACTTCAGCGTGTCTTGACAGCTACAACGAGTAATCAAGTGGCAAGTTCTTCACGACAACCACGCTCACGTCAACCGGAGCCAGGGACACCAACATCCGGGCCAGGGTTCTTCAACCCTAAATATCACAGGAGGTAAGCGGAAGAAGAGCGATTTTTCCTTGAAATTCTCCTCTCCAATCTTGCCTTCAGATCAAAATCAGCTCCAAGAGTCCTCGATCATCAACCGACGCACCGTGTTCCAACAGGAGGAATCCTTCGCGTGAAAATGCCAAGCAATGCCAAACATGTCACGAAACCTGAGGTAAGGCTCTTCACTTTGACAAAAAGTCTGCTAGCTGAACTTCTTCATATAGACAGTGAACATGCATGTAAACCAGTTAAGAATCTAGTCTTTTTCTTTTTTTAAAAATATTCTATGTCAACCAACACCTATCAGGCTCACCAACTTCAAAAATCCAGCGACTACATCTTAACACATCAAGAGGTTGATCAAGAAGGAAATATCAGTACAAGCGTTGTGAAGGTTTCCTTTTGATTCCTGATTTGATTTTTGATTTTTTATTGTTTTTCTATCTCCGGAATTTCTCATTCTTTGCACGACCTACCCACTGGCTTAACCCCACGCTTATTCAAAGAATGTTGGGCAAGTAGCGTCGATACACTATCAAACACCGTCACTAAATCCATCACTAACTTCACTATGCATGCTTTGCACTTTTAGAATAATCTTCGTATTCACATGGAAGCACTAAAATCTCCGGAACCACCTTCACTTGACAATACGAACGCGGAAACGTTCTCAAGTATCGATTCGGAAGTCGTCTATGAATTATGAACACATTTTTTATATTTTCGCACTCCTGCACTATGCGTATGTGTTAACAGTTTTTGAAGGTGAGTGATTTTGAATCCAGTGCTCTGAGAGCTCGATCAGGGGTCGGAAGGAGTGAAAAAGGGCATGTGACGACGAACAATCGTTTAGTTGGCGCTATGCTTTCCGTGTGTTTAGAAACAGGTGTTTGATTCACGGTTTTTGTTCTCGCAAGTTAGTCCAATCCCAGAAAAGCAACAAGTGAGATAGAGATGCTTTGGTTGTGGTTGAGCAAACAGAAACACTGGATTTTCCCTTAACCCACCACTTTTGTGCTTTGAATATCGGTTCAGTTTCTGATCTGATAATTCCTACCACTACTCTACGTTTTTTAAGGGTGAATGCATTCCAACCGCTGGAGGAGGAACTGCTGTATTGTTTAACGATGTTGAACAGGTCTCACACAAAAGCCCCGGTCGTACTCTTCGCACCCCACGTCGTGGGAACACTTGAATCTTTGGTTAATCAAATAGTCCGTCATACATTAATAACAACACCTTACTCTGTTGTATTTGGTTCGCCTAAACGAGAGTGATGTTCAGATATCAAGCCATTATTTATACCTGTTTTGTCTAGATTTGTTAAAAGTACTTAGAGGGTTTTCGCGTAGTCAGTTGGTGATGTAAATAGCTGAAGTATGTGGCCAACGCTTAATATGTAGTGTTTTGATACTACAATTATTGTTCTTATCGTACTCCACTGCCAACCTATGCCACTGTTCTGTTAATTGTAGTACGCTTTACTGATCACTAATAGTTGTTTCTAAAATTATGCTAACGATGTATGCCATTATCTTTCGCAATTATTACTCGGCAATAAAGGGTATTGTTATGTGATGATTTGTCGTGCTTTGCGAAATATCTGTTGAAGTCGGATGTTTATACAGGAATAAGAAAAACTGATATTGCAAGAACTCACGCAGGCTGTAAAGAAGTAAGATAACAAGTCATTAATGAAAAACAAAACGGATGGCGTTGTTCGTTGTGGAATTGTTTACCGAGCTCTGATTTTACGAAGCGCGCTCTAACGAGAATTCAATGCCTCATGGGGAATCGTGAATTGCTTCCCAGATTTTTGTTGTTGTTTCTGAACATATGTCTGTAGCCAGTAATAGTTGATCATTTATTGAAGTGTGATCGTTTAGTAACGTTTCTTTCAAATATTCGTCAGTGATAGAAGCTTTTTTCCTTCCTGTTTCCCGCTTAAATAATATAGATACTTAGTAGATAAGCATAGGAGGTATTCATGTTAGATTCTCATGGCTATGGAAAGTTAATATCTGGATTAGGCGTGTTCAGATCCAAGAGTGTATCTTATCAGCTGTATGTCCTGGCCTGGTCCAAGTGATCCCAGTGACTGTCAATTACACAATGGCACAACAAGAAACTTTGGTTTGACAGTACCAAATGGACATCCCAAGAAGAATAAGACTGCGGAACGATTAAAGGTTTGTTCTCATGAATGTTCAGCTTCCTAAAAAAAGCTCTGCCTTTTTCGTGATATGTCTGCGCGACCTTTTTAAGAACAGCTTTCAAAACTTGCGGGGATGTAAAATATACAGATTCGTTTCTTTGGTTACAGAATTTATCACTCACTAGGGGTTTTGAGCAATTTTGACTGATAAGGGAAAGATTTTTTCTCTCACGATCTGCTCTGAAATTTCCAGTTGAAGAAGTTTGCTAGTTCGTAAAATTCCAGATTTTTCGACAATGGCTAGCTGACACGGACGAGGATGAAAGAAAATTGTTAATTAGGGAATTATTGGTCAGTAGATTTTTTTGTGATGCGTTTTTGGAAGTGTTTTCATTAAACAAATCTTGCAGAACGATTGCGATTTACCCAACTTGGAATATATTAGCATGTTAATATCGCGACTACGTGTTGCAAGATCTCGTCCGACAACGAATGGAAGTAAAGATCCATTAACACTTCTCCCATCACATATTGTACTACGTATTATGGCCTATCTAGATCCAGGTTCTTTTTTTATCAACCTCATCAGATTCTTCATTTCTTTTGTTATATTTTCAAAAAATTCATCTCTATGGCGTCCCTCTCATCCTCTTCTAGATCACTTTACGCTTCCAAATTTTTAGTTTCTCTCTGCCGAAGTTCTCGTGTATCCCGTTACTGGCGCCTTGTTTGTTCTGAACCAATGCTATGGCGGACACTCTGTCAACTACCGCGTGAATTTCGACTCTGTTCTGCGGAAGCAGAATCATCTCAATTACGAAGCCATACATCTGAATGTGGTACAGTTCGATGGAAAGAAGCGTTTTCCGAAAGATACAGGCTTTGGAGAAATTGGCATGCAGGGCGGTAAGTTTGCTCACTTTACTTTTTCTACTTATTCCTATTCAATGCCTAGATCTGAAATAAAGAAATGCGCCCCTTTCCGATGCTTTTTTCATTTTGGCTTTAGCGCATGACCAAGACCTGAAGCTCAACATCAAATATTTTATCCGAATATTTCTCGAAGGTAGTTGTGACTTTCAGCTGTGTAGTACGCACGTTTACGGGTCACACTCAAGGCATCACATGTGTTCAATTTGATGATGATCGAATCGTTAGTGGTTCGTCTGACACCACTATACGCATCTGGGACTTGAGAGGATCAAGCGATGTTGGAAGTAAGTTATTCTCGTATGTGTTGCGTTCCGAATCTTCTTGTTCAATAGAAAGGAAATTCAATATTGATCTGGATTGCAGACCTTGGAACAATGGCACTGAATGGTCATTCGGCTACTGTTCGCTGTTTGGACTTGAATGGAAACGTCTTGGTGTCTGGTTCCAATGATTTTTCGATTAAAGTATGGAATGTTGATGTCAACCCGAGATGGTCTTCTATTGGATGTCGTATGACGATGCTCGGCCATTCGAATTATGTTCGGTGCCTGCAGGTATGGCGGCTCTTCTTCAGTCAATACTGTCCTCATGTTTTCAACTTTCAGATGGATCATGAGCATTTAATTAGTGGATCGTATGATATGCATTTAAAGCTATGGTCACTGAATACTGGAGCGTGTGTGCGAACACTTGTGTAAGTTACCTGACTAGCCATTTTTAATTTGCATCACAATCCACGTTAGTTCAATGGATTTCTCACATTTTTGTTTCAAACGAAGTATTTGCCTCTGGACCGGTGTGAGCGGCACTTAAAGTTCTTTGGGAAGAAAGCCGTATCCGATTTTCTCCTAGATTGTTTCGCAGAACCCCTTGCTCTCCGATAATATGAAGTTGATTTAAGATGTTTTCTTTCTCCTTTCTTTTTTAGTACTTGATTTGTTAAACTATTTTCCGGATATCATCCAGTAAGGAGGTAGCATGTGTTGTTACGGTTCATATCGCATGAAACTTGGAATATTCGGTTTTTCGCAAAGGGAAAGCTCCAGGGTAGGTGTAGAAGCGAAAACGCAAGTGTTCACATTTTTGGGGATAGGGATTCTTCCTGGTACAAAAGTCGTAATTTCTGTAGATGGCAGCAACTATCGCAGTACATGCCTCCCTTACTGTATGATACCCCATTTTTGTTTCCCACTTTCCTACGATACTCAGTTCATATGCTTTCTATTGATTCACTTGCCCATTTTTCTCGAGCGTAGTTCATTAGTCATGAAGTAAATGTATCCTCTAATTATTTTATGGCGCTGGTTTAGTGGACACAACGATTCGGTATTATGCGTGCAGTACCGCGATCGAGACTCATTGGCTGTGTCTGGATCTGCAGACAATTCCATCAAATGTTGGGACACAAGGACGGGCAGGCCGGAAATGACAATACATAATGCACATGATAACGCGGTGCGCGCTTCGAAGGCCTCTTATGATGGTTTAGTTTTGACTTTCGAGGTCCACTAGTTACAGGTCACGTGTGTTCGTTTCGATGATCATCGCATCGTTTCTGGTAGTGTCGACAGGATGATAAAAATGTGGGATGTACGAACAGGGAAGTGAGTCCTAACATAGTTTACGCTCATCTCACCAGTTTCACTTGATCAAAACGTGACATTATGAACACTCTTCTTCCATCGACGCATTACCGCTTATGTAGAGGTCATTTTTTAGGTGCATGCATACTATCGATTGGAAATTGGCTGAGGGTCACACTGGGGTAGTCCGCTGCCTTCAAGTGGACACATGGAGGATTGTAAGCGCAGCAGATGACAGAACAATCAAGGTATTTCTTATTTTCAGAAATTCCAACTTTAGTCAACGTGTAGACATTCATGGTGTGTTCCTATCGTTTTAAATTTTAATAATATTCCAATGAGAATTTCACGACTCCTTCATGATACTCTAGTTGCTTCGCAATTTCTCATTGGAATAAAAATAACTTCTCTTTTAAAAAACAATTAGTGTGCTAACCTTAGTGACAACTTTGGAATCTCATAATTTCCAATTCATTCTGGTAGTGTCAAAGAGCAACTTCGCTGTTCTTTTCGCATCCCTAGTTGGTCCATTTTGACAGATTCTCGAATCCAAAATGGCGTAACCGTTAACTCAGGATGCGCTAATTTTCTCAGTCTATTGCTTGGTGACCGAATAATTGGTAATATCCCTAAATGTACACTGTCTTAAGGTTAGTGAATATACTCTCTGTTCATCATAGCTCATGCCTGGTAAGGCCTGACCATTCCCATTTGTTTTGAACGCTTTGTGAAAGATGTGTGGGTTATTAGCGATGCGTGCATAGATGCGCTCAAGCTTGTAAGGTGTCGATGGCGCTATCAAGCAAAACTTTCAGTGGCTCTGATCCTAGTACGTTGCGCTATTACGGCCCACAGCTTCTGTGTGCCGTGTATCCACTACGCGTACGTAGTTGCGCAAAATCCTATTTCTCGTCAGTTTTTAGTGCTGCACACATATATTTCACAATTCTAAGAACAACATATGATTATGGGATACCATCAATTGAAAAATGATTCATAATTTGAGGTCGTATGCAAAAATTGCGTTCACATCAGGCATCCATATACCAGATAGAGCATTTTTCGGTTTTTTTTTGCCGAGATTTGATACAAGAATACTTGTCACACTGAATCAAAAAGATCGCTCCTCTGTACAAGCAACCATTCAAAAATTCAATTTTAAAGAAAATTGTTGATTCACTCCCCTAACTTATTATCTGGAGCCTTCTTGTTATGCAAATAAAAAAGTGAGAAGTGTAAAAAATTCCACTAATATATTTGTTGCCAAACAATTTGCCAAATCTATAGCTATAGATTTGGTCTACTGGACATGTCACAATGTGCTGCCATTTCTGAGGTTTTTTTTTGATACAGTTACCTCATTCCTTTTGAGTTTCTGTCTGGCTTCTGTACAGTGGAGCGATCTCTAAATAGAGCTCTGCCATTATTATGCTGCTTTCTTAATGTTTGACGTATAGGTATGGAATGTTGATTCCCTTCAACGCCTTTGCACTCTGCACAGCCACGAAGACGGCGTCACTTGTGTTCAGTTCAGCGATCGACAGATAGTATCCGGTTCGTACGACAAGACAGTGAAGTTATGGGATTTCAGTCGTTGTTGATGTGGCATTGTTTCTTTCTCATGTTTTCTGTAAATATGCTGAAACATTGTTGTTGTATTATAACTGCTTAGCTGCTATGTTTCTTTCAAAGTAACGATCATTGTTTACGAGGTGAACTATTCTTGTCGATTTGCTTTGTCTATCCGATCCCAGTTGGAGTCCATGTATTATCGCGACCTGTTCCTGTCAGCAGTATAGACCAGTAATCGTTTTTCATTGGCATTTTGAAGCTTATTTTTGTTGAACTCATTTTGTACTTCTTTGTTACAAGGAGTTAAGTGCTGTGCAGACTGTGATAAGCATGTATGTATATGTAATTTAGAATTATTCTTTTTCTCTTCAATTCCAGTTTTTCACTTGGTAGTACTTTGCCAGATTTACGTTAATCTTGGTGATGTCGTTAAATTAGGCGAATCCCGAGATAGTCACCAACAGTTGTAGTCTACATATATGCGGGCTTTTCCTTAACAAGCGCTTATAAAACATTTATAATCTGAGAAAATTGTTAATGTGTGCGTGGTCGATTCCTTGACTGAATAGTTACTTGAATGTCTGGCAAGAGCGGTCCATTACAATGCTCATATCTAATATTGACCACTTTCTAGATTCAGTACATCTTCTTGGAATAAGCACTAGGTTAATTGTGGTTTTCTTCAACATTTGTATTCTGAGAGAGTTGCTTATTAGTATGCTCATTTTATAACCACAAAGTTCGAGTTTAAGTTGGCTTAGGCAGGATTTCATATGAGAAGGGAAGATCTCTCGACGTTGTTGTCAAACCTGACGCCGTAGAATATGAAATTCGAAGCAATATTTTGCAAAACCTCTCTGTTCCTTGTAAAGCATGAGCACTGTGCAAGCTATATTATCGAGCATGCTGTGAATACAAAGTCGCAGCAGTGGTTTACATGCCTTAGCTTTTGCTGAGAGGCGCATCGAAAGGTTTTAAGAGTGTATTTTTTACTGCTGATTCCCTCCCCTATGAAGTAGCTGATATACCGCGTGATCATAGTGTTTCTGTTTCATATCCAGGGCAAGTGACGACGCAGCAAAGAGGAGAGGCAGTTACTCGAACTCGACGCGAAGAAACTGGGGATGCTGAGAGATTGGCGCAGAGTGACGATGAAAATCCACAGAGCGGTGAAGAATCTGACGGAACGCCATCGGAATCAGATCAGAAGTACGAAATGCCATGTAAATTGGCGATGTATGATTTCAATCAGTGTGATCCGAAGCGATGCTCTGGAAGGAAGTTGTTACGAGCTGGACTGATCAACGAAGTGAGTACAGAATTCGCTTGTAATGATGGAGCCATTTTATTGATTGTGCGAAGTTGCGCGAATTTTTCAAAAAAAAAGCAATACGGAGGGGAGGTAGTGTGGCAAGTGAAGGCTGCTTCCCTTAGTCAACTAAGTCAAATTCGCGGTCAGAATTTGCGCGAGATGTTAGCCCTTCACCTGTCCAGAGTCATTTGTTTGGTTGCGGCAGCCATTGTATAGTTCAGATCACGTATAGTCTTTCCAGTATTGGCACAGCTGTTCTCTACCAGGGCTTATATATGGTTTCAGCACGTTTGCCTAGTGAAATTAATTCTAGGTTCGCCTCGGTAGTCGATTTCCTTGACTTGTATTGAGTCCTACAGGTAAGACAACGTTAGCCCCATCTGATCGTGATTTCATAGATAATTACGGATTGGGAGTCGTTGACTGCTCATGGAAAGAAGTTGAACGAACACCACTACATAAGGTACGCAGGCATTTGTGTGTCAAAACACTTGCCGTTGTATAGATTTCCAGTTGTGTTCAGTTCATGTTGATCTACATATAGGTCAAGGCTCCTGAGCATCGACTTCTACCTTACTTGGTTGCGGCTAATTCGGTGAACTATGGACGCCCGCCTTATTGCGCGAGGCCTGGGCTGCAGGTTTGCATGGAGAGTTTATAATACAACGACGTAAATGTTTTCAAGGTCTATACATCATTGGTCATGTTCGAGCTGCTGATGAGTTGATGAAGCAGTTCACGTGGGGACCACACTTCATTGATCTAAATCGTGAACTGCTCGACATCTATGCAAGTTGCAGCACACCTGAAGAAGTTATCCAAAAACAAACTGATTATCTAAAGCGTCTGGAAAAAGAGGCTGAAGAGAGCCGAAGTAGAGGCGTTGATTTACCTCCAAGCGATAGCGAGTCGGAGGAAGAAGAGGGTGGTAGCTAGCAGTAACAAAGGATTCTTTTTATTGTTAGCTCACTTTCTGTTCTTATCAGATTAACCTTCGAAAGAATTCGAGAACAGCTCTCTAAGGCTGTTTGATTTCTGAGATCGACGAGCGGCAGTCTCCCTTATTCTCCACTAGTCGATCTTGCTCGCACATTTTTGGCTTTGATGTGGTTTTTCTTCTTCTTGTTTCGTTGCGATGTACTCCAGACTTGTAGAAGGTTCATCAGTGAGGCGACTTTCCATAACTTCTGTTGATTAGCGTTTTTGGCAATGAGGCGTTCTTCTCTGTGTATTTCAATTCGTTTCCTTATGAAGTGTACTAACGCCTTCGCTGGTCATTGTTTTCATATTTTGTTATTGTTGTTCTTATAAATGAAGTATTCAGATAATGGATTGGGAGGGCCAATTTGAAGCTGGTTTCGAGTACGAAATACAAACAGAAGGTATGCGTCAGGGAGCTGAGGCTCGAGTCTATATCTGCACTTATCTCGCCGCGTCAATACATGAAGACGGGGTTTTGTTTGATTCTGAAGGTCGTTGCGATATTGGTGAATTATTCATAGTGAATTTCAGCTTTGTTAAGAAGTACCGCCACCCAGAGCTTGATCGGAGATTAAACAAAATCAGAATGCGAAATGAGCTCAAGGGACTCGTAAAAGCGCAGGAGGTTAGGAAAGCTTCAAATGCATTTCCAAAGCAGTTGAAACCATCTAGGTCACCTGTTTTCCAACTTCTGTTTTTGAATTTTTCAATTTTTTTTCATGGTGTGAGGTTAGTGGAATATCCAATTCGGGGCTTTTGGTACCCACTGCTTCTTTACAAGTCGTGTCTGGTTTGAATAGCTACTGAAACATGCAGTCGCTCCCGTTGGATGGATATCCTTTGGTTGTGATGCATGAAAGGGTTGATCGTCCGATCTCTGTTTGTCCCTAGTATGTTATATTCAAGTGATCTCAGTCCAGCAATACGTAGGCCTACATTCTAGCTTGGAATAGGAGCACCTGCTGTGTTTTTCATCGACAATGACAACAACAGAATAATTATGGAGCGGATAGAGGGTTGTACGGCAAATTCGTGGATCGAATCTAGGCGACAGGAAGAGAATGGGTCGGATCAGTTTGTAGTGAGTCTTTGATAGTTGAGCAGTTGGATTTTTTTGTATTTAGTCCGTACTCTTATAGGCCGAAACACTGGAACTCGGAAAGACTATTGGTGAAGCCGTCGGCAAAATGCACTTAAGTAATCTAATACACGGTGATCTCACGACATCCAACGTTATTTTAAAGGATGGCGACTTCAAGCGACCGTATTTCATTGATTTTGGATTATGTGCTCTTGGAAAGGTTGGCTAATTTTCTGTTCTACCTTTTGTAAGTTTTCCTCTTCATTTTCTTGGCGTTTGATTTATTTGGTGACGGAGTCCTTTTCTTTTGATATTTTAATGCCATCTTTCTTAAAAGAATGCTAATCGGGCTGAATGCCGGTCAAAATTTAAATTACATGCAGTACAAAGCCGGCGCTACTCTCTTATCTTTTCATAGGTGAAAAGGCTTCGATGTGCATTACTGGTAGAACTTGCGTAATTCGCACCGTGAAGACCTTGCACCCCTCAGGCCTTTTTGTATCCGATTTAGCTGATGTTTAGTAAACGTTGTTATGCGATTATTGCGGCATCTTCTCCATGTTTCCTCTTCAGTAGTTCGTTAACCTTTCAACGATTTTTTTATCGGTAATGAATGCATTGTTTTCTGGACCCAACTAAGTATACTGATTATGTATTGCTTTGTAATACAATAAAAACGCTAAATTAGGTAAAAATGGGTTTTGTCCGTGTGAGAAGTGGCAAGGCGTTGCTCCTCACTGCCGTAAACTAAGTTTTTGATCACCTTTGCAACTATGATGTTCAAAAAATCCACTACGTTATGGTTTCCCACCCACAGACTGTCCCCTATTGGCTGCAGCAATTGCCCTTTTATGGTGGCTGCCCATCTTTAGTTCAATATTCGAGCTCTAGTATTCTGCCCCTATCATCTGGCTTGGCTACTTATTTATTGCTATTCTTCTTCAGGTTTCACCTGAGGATAAAGGTGTTGACTTATATGTATTGGAGAGAGCTATGATCAGCACTCACGTTGATTCGGAGGAGATGTTCAAGAGTGTTTTGGAAGGCTACAAAAGCGTTAAATCAAAAACAAGGAATTGCTGTTCTTCAAGTGAGTTGTCCTTCTTTTATTTTTGGCTATTCTTATTCTTATTCTTTATTACATGACTTACATGTAATATAACACAAACAAAACAAACCGACAATAAAATCAAAACAAAACATAAGAAAATTATATTACACAGGACACAGATAGAGGTTGAGCTGTCTCTTGAATCCAGCTAGAGATCCAGGCACCCTTACTTTTTTGGTCATTTTGGTATACTCAGAACCAGCCCGAAAGGTGAAGAAGTTACGTCTTACGGAGTAGTTTGGCCTCGGAAGAAAGATTTTGAGCGTTTCGCCCCTAGTAGAAGAAATACTGAACTCGAAGAAATCACTAACTTTCAAGTCAACCATGCCATGGAGAATCTTGTAAACCATTATTAGGTCATTTTTCTCCCGCCTGATTTGAAGGGACTCAAGACGAAGCATTTTATTTCTTATAATGCTACGAGGGATACTGTGGTAAGTGAATCCCAAAAGCGCGGAGGAATAGTTTTCTAGTGAAGCTATTTTGAACTTTCTCAATACGATCCTTTGAAGATTTTTTACTTGGCGAGAAGACGCTAGTTCCATATTCGAGCATTGACCTTACATAAGTTTTATAAGCATGAGCGAGAAGCGAAATATCATTTGAACACAGAGATTTGAACAACAAGAAGAGACGATGTTCAGCTCTGTTAGCAATAAATCGACAATGCTCATCAAATGAGAGTTTGTCATCAACAATGAAACCAAGATCTTTGACGGAAGTGACTTCAGCAATAGGATCTCCCGACATGAAATAAGAGATGTGAGGGTTATTCGAACCGAGATGGAGAACCGTGGTTTTTCCAGGAGAAAATGGAAGCATCCATTCACAAGACCAGCGATTAACATCATCAAGAGCGGTCTGCAGAAGGGAGGGGGAGTGCTCGGTATCTACCCTTCCAAAGATTTTAATGTCATCAGCAAACATTTTGCAACTGACACCAAGCCTTAATGCTACACCGGGCAAGTCATACACATATATCGCAAAAAGAAGCGGAGATAAGACCCCTCCTTGTGGAACGCCTGAGGGGGCGCTCCGAGTAGAAGAACAACCATTATTAACCACCACTTGAAATGTGCGATTACTGAGAAAGGCCTTGATCCAACTGACAATCCTAGGATGTAACCCTACGTGGCTCAGTTTCAAAAGAAGCAGCCTGTGAGAAACCTTATCAAAAGCTTTTTGGAAGTCCAAATAAATTATATCAAGACTTTGCCCTGCAATCTAGCGCCTGAGGTCCATTCGTTTAGAGATTCCAGCATAAGTGTTATTTTTCAGTGTTTTTCTTTATTATTCAGTGTTTTCTGTCCAGAACTGAATGAGATTTCGCTTACGAGACAAAGCGCGACATTACGGAGATGTGTTTCTTATAGATGTAATCAAGTTGAATTGTTGAGGATATTATTATGCAATGAAGTTGAAACATTTGAGTTCTCATCAAGTGCGTCATGGCTTCCTCCATGTACACTTCCTGTCTTTTTTCCTCTTTTAATCAAATCATCGAATTTTAGATGAATAAGAAACGCGATGGAGCTCAAACCAAACGTGGCAGTCCACCCTCTGGACTTATTAGTGGTAGAATGTATCTCACTAAGGTAACTACAGTGTGAAGTTCTAATATTGGAAATCTGCTGACAGTTGTCGTTCAGGTTGCAGAGCTGTCAGAAGAGTTCAATGTCGACGCTTATCATCTCAGTGATATTCTTCAAATGATTCGCCCACAGCCTCTCTATTCACTTTAATTTTATGATGACTCTTGTGTTTCAGTACGTCGCATGCTGAACCGACACACAACATTCCCAATGACGCAATCTCCTCCCCTTTTAAAGCGCCATATCCAGAACATGCAGAGAGACTCTCCAATATCAGTGAGTTGTTGGTGAGAAAATGGGTTCCGATAAAAGATCTCTATCGAAAGTAAGCATTCAACCATGATAAAGCAGAAGTTTTTCGATAACGTTTGAGGACAAATCATCCTGATTCTGACAACATAGTTTGATATCATTTTTAGTTCTTACGTTGATATCTGTTTCCACATTCTCATTCATGCCCCCTTACACTTCCATGTAACAATCTCGGCTAGGCGATGTGCAGTATTTGCCCACTATGGTGGGAGCACCCTTAGCTCGCAACTATCAAGCAGTCGTTGCTTCTCTTCCCTTTTCGGTCCCTGGTACTTCCTTCAATTTCCACTCAGTCCGCCTCTCTCACCTCGTTTTTTGCCACCACTCTTTCGAGTTTTTCAGGGTGAAAATCCTCTATGATACATCATGCCCAAAGCGCTAACTTGAAGCTCAAGACTGCGCTAACTACTCATCCCTTACGCGTAATTACTATGCTTTATTTAGCGAAGTCACTACTATCACTAGCACCACGATGCGTTTGGTTAAGGGATTCGTAGAAAACTTTGCGTCCGGAAATTTTTTGCCTTGCAGTTCTTGAAAGTAGTGGTAGTTATGAAATATGATACTATAATTCGGCGAGGGTAAGTAGGTAGTATTTTATAGCTTCACGTATTCTTTGGATTCTGGATATAACTGGACATCACTTGTGTGATGATGGGCGATAACTGCTAGAGTTCCGCGCTTGATAATGTATCCTACAGATCACGATGTCTCTTGAAGTCTTTCTGCAACTATGTTCTCTAATGTGACCATTGCATTAATTTATCATAATTCTGATACAAACTAATTTTAATTCCTTTAAAGGAGGAATTCACGATAAGAACGAAGGTCGAAGAAGGGGAAATTGCCTAGTTGGGAGACAGGCGGACCTCCTGAGGGTGCTGACCGACGCGCAATTGGCAGCGAAAGATTTGACCTCGGCGATCTAGCATGGCTCACTCTTGGCGCGGTTGGCGGGTACGCCCACCGACATCTGAATCACTCGCCGCAGGTCTATACGTGGCGAGTGATTAGATAGCAGAGAGAGCGTAGTGTTGAAGAGGGCACAGCGATGAGAGTCGCATCAATGCTCAAATCAACGGGCAAGGAAGGGGTCCATTTCTCGGGTTCTGGGCCGTTTCTCATGGTTTTTCTTCTTTCGTGTACCACTCACCATCCTAGGTTAATTTGAAATGGGTTGCTTTTTCATCGTGAATTCGTCCTTTAAGGATGTGTCTGCTTTGAATTTCGAAAACGTCTCCGTCTTGGGGGCTCCGCTTCCTATTCCTTTTGGAACACATCACACAAAGCTATCCATATTCGATTGCGAGACAAAACTACATGTGATTGTGTCGACCGCTAACCTCATTGAAGGTAGGTCTTACATTTCTTGCAGAATGCTTGTCATGGCAAATGTTTTCTGTATACAGGTGACTGGTACGAGAAAACGCAGTGTTTTTATTACGCCTGTGGAACGGTTTCCGATACAAGGTAATATCCGCGATGCTTATTTGCTCCTCTGATCACTCAAAATTTGCCTTGACCGAGAAATTTACCGGAAGAATAAGATCACGGTGGGGTAGGATTGGTGGGGCACGGGCGAAGATGTGAGGAGCATTCATGAGGTGAATTGGAACCCTGTTCGATGTGTGGAGGTTTCCAATGAAAGGGCGATTCGGGCTGTATAGTTATCATCTATGTAGGGTCAACCACTCGTGAAAGAAACAAGGGCTCCATATCATATGCCTTCAAGTGAGTGATTGTGCAATTCATACTCAAAAACTGGATTTCAAAACGAAGTGCGGCTTAGAGACCAAGAAAAGAACGTAATCGGAATGAAAATAGATC